TTGCGGGGATTCGAACCACTGATCTTCCGATCTGCAAGCCCTAAGCTCAGTGGTTTAGACCACAGCACCACCTGAGTGTTTTAGGAGAGGCCTGGAATGGAACCTGGAATCTTCTACTTGAGTAGCAAGAGCTGTACCGCTGAGTTACAGTCTGCCTCCATCCTTTGGCAAAACACACAGGTTCTTTGTTGTATGAAGAACAGGAATAAAGACAAACCAGACTGTTTAAGAAAAACAAAAAAACCCTAGATTGTTTTAAACTCTCAAGTTCAGTTCCCAGTATTTCTCATTGGCATCGATCATCTTTCCCCAGATGCGTTCCAGATTTTTGATATTTTTTTTTTACTACAATTCCCACTATCCTTAACTATTGGCCATACTGGCAGGGCTGATGGGAATTGTAGTCCAGAAAAATCCAGAGAGTTTCCGATTGGAGAACACTAAGATGATCCCCTGAGTACCAGGAGGTGGCAATACGTGGGGGTTCTAGAATGGACTGCAGTTAAGAATTGCCAATTTTTCATGCCTCCCTATCCTAAAAGCTCTCTAGAAATAGAGAATTTGCACTGCAGAAAAAGGGCGGAGTACAAACTTTTCTCCCTGATGTGCTAGCTTTCTACTTGCAGGGAGTGTGTTATTTTTAAAAAAATGTGGGGAGTGGCATTCTAATCGTTATGTTTCACTTGCATTGTGAAATGGAGTTTTATCAAGCTTGGCATTTTATAAGCTTATTGCACTGCACATGGAGATCTAGAATTCAGTAGCAGGGCTAGGAAACACTTCAGTCTAAGCCTATAACCCAACCTTCACAAATCTGATGCCCTGTTGGTCCTTTGGACCACCACCAATAACAACCAACATTGCCCGGGGCTGATGGGAGTTGTAGTTCAAAACATTGGCAGAGCATCATGTCAGCAAAGTCTGCTATAAGGTTCTATAGGGTAGGTGGGGAAATGTTCTAGCACCATGTAAGGCAGGTGTGAAGAATCTTTGGCCCTCTGGTCCTGTTCCTCAACATCTGCTGCCTGAAGAGGCCCCCTCAGCCTGCCTAATGCCAGGGCCGGTCCCAAATGTTTCAGCCTGAAACAAAGCTCAATGGTGCCACCCCTGCTAAGGCCAACACTATTAAAAGAGTTGTTTGCCGCAATCAGACACCAGTTTCTTAAATTTATCTATTTCACACACACACTTCTCCATGGTACTTCCTGAACCAGGTTGGTTCTCCCTACTGCATAGTTAAGGGAAAGAAACTTGCTGAGAAAAGGAAACAGCTGGTAGGCATTGCTGAGATCCTGAATTCAGGCAGCTGTAGTTGAGATTCCTGCATTGCAGGGGGTTGGACTAGATGACCACTGAGGTCCCTTCCAACTCTACAGTTCTATGATTCTAAATGCTGGGATGTGCACATGGTTGTTGCGGCTGTTGTTTTTTCTTGTGGTTGTTAAGCTGCGATTGGGACATACTTCAGAATAAAAGCATGCTTAGGACAGTGCTGTCACTAGGTTACTGTAAAAATAAGGAAAATTGTTTCACAGTTGAGCTGCGAGAATATATATATATACCGTATTTTTTGCTCTATAAGACTCACTTTTTCCCTCCTAAAAAGTAAGGGGAAATGTATGTGCGTCTTATGGAGCGAATGCAGGCTGCGCAGCTATCCCAGAAGCCAGAACAGCAAGAGGGATCGCTGCTTTCACTGCGCAGTGATCCCTCTTGTTGTTCTGGCTTCTGAGATTCAGAATATTTCTTTTCTTGTTTTCCTCCTCCAAAAACTAGGTGCGTCTTATGGTCTGGTGCGTCTTATAGAGCGAAAAACACGGTATATATGCACACATACACAAACACAAACACGGAGAATATATGTATATAATGAGAGGGAGGGACATCTGGGAAAATGATCACCATTCTGTGATCATTTTTTTACCCATCAGTTTTATTTGATATGCTATTAGTATTCTTATGGCTATTCTTGCAGTGTTGTGTTTTTTATGTTTTAAACTCCTTTGTTTTGTTTTCTATGAATGTGTGGTTTATAAATATTTAAGTGAGTGACAATAAATAAATAAATAAATAAATAAATAAATCCATCCATCCATCCATCCATCCATTCATCCATCCATCCATCCCCAAAGAAGAATTTCTGTGTTCATTCAGAATGAAGCAGTCGCCACATTCTGGGTCCAGGTCCTTTTGAACAGGCAGCATCAGCACAGGCAGAAATCTGATCTGTTTCCTAGAAGGAAAGGCCTCTCACTTGAGATCTGGAGACAGGGGAGTTCCGCAGTTGTTCTCTGGGAAGTGGGACCCACAACTAAATGTTGCAGTTTGGGGCAGTGCCGCCGGAGTTAGGGTGTTGTGGGAGATTCCTCGCAGGGCGATGAGCAAAGGGGGAGCAAAACAACAACAACATGAGTACCTACAGAAAAGATCCATTTTAAAAGCAGCTGTACCAAAAGGAATTCTTGTGAAAATAATGTTTCTCTTTTTTTGGGGGGTGCCAATTTTTGTCCTTGCTCACGGTGCCACACTACCAAAGTCCACCCCTGATGTGGGCTCCTGTGCAGGGTTGCAGCCAGATGAAACCACCTTCTTTCAGGATACTCCATTGCATTCTCCCTCTGCGACATGCTCTTGTTATTTCCCATTTCTGCATTTAGCCAGCCTTCCATAGGCGCTGAGCATGCTCAGTCATCAACAAGCTGTTTGGGGTTGAGTTGCTCCACGTGGATTTTATCTGCTAAAGCATGCTAACCTCTCCTCTTTGTGTGTGTGTGTGTGTGTGTGTGTGCATAGCAGAAGCACCTGGCCTGGTATGGTGAAGCCAGCAAGATAGTCAGGAGGTTGGGGCTCTGCAGGCACGCCAGCGGATGTTGCTGCTTTGGCTGCATCTACATTGAGATGCAAGTGGCACTGTGGTCTGAACCACAGAGCCCAGGGCTTGCCGATCGGAAGGTTGATGGTTTGAATCCCTGCAATGGGGTGAGCTCCCGTTGCTCAGTCCTTGCTCCTGCCAACCTAGCAGTTCGAAAGCATGTCAAAGTGCAAGTAGATAAATAGGTACCGCTCTGGCAGGAAGGTAAATGGTGTTTCCGTGCGCTGCTCTGGTTCACCAGAAGTGGCTTAGTCATGCTGGCCACATGACCCAGAAGCTGTCTGCGGACAAATGCCGACTCCCTTGGCCTATAGAGCGAAGTGAGGGCCGCACCCCCAGAGTCATCCGCGACTGGACCTAATGGTCAGGGGTACCTTTACCTTTACATTAAGAGAACTGAGCTTGCTTCTTATATGGCTGGTTCACACGTGCAAGCTACCACTTGATACTACAGCCAGTGAGTTGTTAGCATGTGCCTGTACGTATGAGCTGTGTTTCAATTTAACATTTGTGTGGGTTTAGCAGTCCCTGTGGTTGGGCACAGCCACTCACCTGGCACTGGTGTTGCTGCTGGTTACCTGGACGGAGCTGGGGCAGGGAGGTGGCGAGCTCAAGGCTGCGCCAGTGCACCAGTGGAGCCAGTCCAGGACTCCCACTAGGGAGTCACAGCCTTGCCACCCCCTTTCTTCACCCCAGCCTCATCCAGATGAGCTGGTCTTCGGAGGGAAGCCCCATAACTCCACCCCCAACACCATCACTACTGATTTGGTCCATTAGCCTGTTCACACTCCTCCATCTTTTCCGCTTGGTTTTTTTCATCACTTGACAACTTAACGGTTGACAACCTGCAGCTGAACATGTGAATTGACTCATTTTGTGTCTGCTGTGGATATATGGACAGTTATCTGTGGAGATTGGTAATGAAACATTCTCTCTCTCTCTCTCTCTCTCACACACACACACACACACACACACACTCAAGTCATTGGTACTTGACATTCAAGCAATGCACATGCACCGTATTTTTCGCTCCATAAGATGCACCTGACCATAAGACGCATCTAGTATTTAGAGGAGGAAAACAAGAAAAAAAATATTCTGAACAAAACAGTGGATGTATTATTTTTGTGGCTCATGCTGTGGCCACAGACATAATATGTGATTTGACGGTGAGTTTGGGGTAGCCCAATGCAAAAATCCTGAGAATCCATGTGGATCCGTGCTTTGTAACCACGTTTTTGTGCCATTGCGGTCCCACGAAACAGTGGGTGCGTGATTTTTTTGGTGCAAGCTATAGCCATGGACATGTTATGTGATCTGATGGTGAATTTGGGGTGACCCAATGCAAAAATCCTGAGGATCCATGTGCTTTTACCTCCCCCTTCCCAGGCAGCCTCCTTTATCTCTAGAGTCCCTTATCTCCCTCCCAATCGCTTGCCGATCAGCTGCTCAGTGGCTTTGTTTCAACACCCCCTTCCCTCTTTCTAGAAATAAAAGCATGATCTGCTTTTTGCCCCTGTGCAATTTGGTTCCAGGGACCATGCATTCGCTGCATAAGACGCACAGACATTTCCCCTTACTTTTTAGGAGGAAAAAAGTGCGTCTTATGGAGCAAAAAATACGGTATGTGTGTAAAGGCCTTAGTGAACTGGTTGGCATCAAAACCTATTCTTAGGAATACTCTGTGTGAGAGCCAGTTTGGCAGACCTGGTGTCATTTTGCTGCATGGTGCAAAGGAAAAGGTGAAAGGGTTATGGCGACTCAGGGACAGAGAAGCTGCTTCGCATGCAGAAGGTCTTAGGTTCAGCCCCCAGGATCTCTAGAAATGTCCCCTCTCTGAAACCCTGGAGAGCTACTGCCAGTCAGTATAGATGGCTTTGAGCTTGATGGAGCAATGGTCTGACTTGTATAAGGCAGTTGTCCTGGTTCCACTCAAAACACAGAGGCAGAGGCACGACTTGAAGGAGGAGGACTTCAAAGGGCCGGGGTTGCCGTGGCAGCTGTCACTCCCACAATTTCCATGGCAACAAGGAGTCTCTGCTGGGGAGCAAGTCCAGGCTCCCCTCTTGGAAAGGGTTGGGCGGTAGCAGGGATCGTTCAGCGGGCCTTTGCAACCGGAGCACCAGCCATGGTGGCCCTCAAGGCTGGAGACAAGTTGCCCAGTGTGGAGGTCTACGAGGGTGACCCTGGCAACAGGGTGAATGTGGTGAGCCTCTTCACAGGCAAGAAGGGGATCTTGTTTGGGGTGCCTGGTGCGTTCACTCCAGGTTGTTCAAAAACCCACCTCCCAGGCTATGCGGAGAAGGCAGGACAGCTGAAAGGCAAAGGAGTGGAGGTCATCACCTGCTTGTCTGTCAACGACGTCATGAGCAAGTGTGGAAAGGCTCACAAAGCCGAGGGAAAGGTCCGGATGTTTTGTTGTTGTTGTTTTTTCCAAAAAAATTATTGGTTTTCACAATATTATAAACAAACACACACACACACACACACACACACACACAAGACAAACAAACATAAATCATAGCCTTATTGAAAATTACACTTATTAACTTTGTTAAGTGACTTCCTCGCTTCCCCTTGGTTGAATTTCATTGCATGTCCTTTTAACGGTTTTCCAAATCCCAATTCTTATGAAATTTAACTAAAACATTAACATCCTTAAATCTTCACCTTATGGAATTAAACATATTAATTCATCACTTAACATAAATAAAATCCTAAGCCAATTAAGTATCTGCAAGCTGTTTTCAATTAATTTAACTTAACAAATTTAACTAGATAATCATTAAATTTATTCCACTCTTCCTGATAATCCTCCTCCTTCTGGTCGCAGACTCTTCTGGTTAGGTCGGCCAGCTCCGAAAAATCCATCATCTTCATCTGCCATTCTTCTATTGTTGGTAATTCTTGGGTTTTCCACTTTTTAGCTAACAAAATATGAGCAGCAGTTGTAGCATACAAAAATAACTTTACATCTTTCTTGGGCAATTCCAAACCTGGTATTCCAAGAAGGGAAAGGTCCGGATGTTGGCTGATCCCATAGGAGCATATGGGAAGGCTACAAACCTGTTGCTGGACAAAGAGCCACTACGGGAACTTTTTGGGACCCAACGATCCAAACGGTTCTCTTTGGTAGTCCAAGATGGTGTGGTGAAGGCCCTCAACATAGAAGAAGATGGCACAGGCCTCACCTGCAGTTTGGCCAACAACATCCTATCTCAGCTCTGAGACCTGGGACATCGTGGTTGTTAACCCATCTCCTAAACCCTGACAGCAAGAGACGCACAAAACCACCCACCCTCACCTGATTCTTACTAGGGATGGTGGGCTGATTTATTTCCCCCTCACAGCTTCTAGGATTTGGCCTTTACAAGGGCAGGGATATGTATGTAGCTGCTTTGAATCCCTTCTCTGTCTTGACTCCGTTATCTTGGACATTATTGCCTGAAATAAAAATTATACTGGGGGGGGATGGGGACCCACAGAGGCAGAATGTGTTGCTTGTAAGAAAGAGATCTTTATTCAGGCAAGTCACGATATAGGCTCAGCAGAGAGGGCACAGGGCTTAGGTGTCACAATTCAGGAGTTTAGGAGCAGAGCGATAAGTTCAGAACTGGACAGAAGCAATGAAGATGTCCCAACAAGTTCACCCAGCCCTCCTGCCTAGCTTCGAAAGATGAAGTATGGCATGCTCAGGTGTGAGACTCTCTTGACATTGTGGGAATGTCAAGCTTACAAGCACACACTTTATTGGGGCAGGTGGTTCTGCTCCCATCTGTGAAAGCAGAGTCTGGTTCTAGCCAACAAGATTGCATCCTACTGTTCAGACTCCAGTTCAGTCATTGCTGCTTCCTGTTCAGCCCTCCCCAGCCAGCATTGAGGCTCTCCACTCCACAGGAGGGTTGGAGGAGAGAGCCAGAATCCCTGCTCCCCACTCCAAAGCAACTGAAGCTGGGATAGAAAAGGGAGATCTTAGAGAGCAAGTGCCGGTCAAATTAGACAATGTTGAGTTAGAGAGACCAATGACCTGACTCACAATAATGCAACTTTGTGTGTGCTTGTCAGGAATGTCCTGACAATAAGGGACTGGCGTAACAAGCTACAAGAATTTGCTGAAATGGCGCAGTTGACATATAGCCTGAGAGGCAATTCAAAACAAAAATTTATGGGAAAGTGGGTTAGATATAAGATATATGTTCAAAAATACAGTAAAGGTTTGCTATCTATGCTAGCATTCGATTGACGTTGGAGAGAGACAGAGTTGAGAAATTAAGACCAAGGGTACATATTTATATAGGAATGTATTAGATAAAATGTAAAGAAATATACAATAAGAGTACATTCATTTGTAAAAAAGGAATCTACAACGGGATAGTCAGGAAGTCTAAAGTGTTGGTACATATGTGATTTTGGAATAGTTATTTGTCTTTCTTTCTTTCTTTCTTTCTTTCTTTCTTTCTTTTAGTATATAAACTTTGTATACATGTTGAAAATTATAGTGTAATAAGCCTTGTGATGTAATATGAGAATGTTTGCCGAGGTAGCATAAGAACTTTAATAAATAAATTTTTTTTAAAAAAGGAATGTTGATTGGTGGTCCATATCTGCCCCCTCCAAAAAATAACCTTAATCTGGTCTCCAGTAGTAGTAGCCAATTTTATGCACAGCCATTGAAAATTTGGCTCACAAGTCCATTTTCTAAGCAGGGGAAGTGGTGAGTTTCCATTTGTATATTATTCACTTTTTTTAATCATATCACCATCTCATGAGCTGTCTTTGCCCACGGATCAGGGTTCTGCTACTCTGCAAATTGTATGGAAGTGGGAGCTGGACCATAAAGAAGGCTGATCACCGAAGAATTGTTGCTTTTGAATTATGGTGCTGGAGGAGACTCTTGAGAGTCCCGTGGACTGCAAGAAGATCAAACCTATCCATTCTGAAGGAAATCAGCCCTGAGTGCTCACTGGAAGGACAGATCCTGAAGCTGAGGCTCCAATACTTTGGCCACCTCATGAGAAGAGAAGACTCCCTGGAAAAGACCCTGATGTTGGGAAAGATGGAGGGCCCAAGGAGAAGGGGACGACAGAGGACAAGATGCCTGGACAGTGTTCTTGAAGCTACCAGCATGAGTTTGACCAAACTGCGGGAGGCAGTGGAAGACAGACGTGCCTGGCGTGCTCTGGTCCATGGGGTCATGAAGAGTCGGACATGACTAAATGACTAAACAACAACATTAATTTAGGGATCACCAACATGGTGCTGGTGGTCGCAGAGGTACCCCTGAGGCCTCTGAGACCCCCACTTACTGGTCAGTGAAAGTGGTTACCATTTTCTCTCTTGAAAAATACATAGAACTGAAAGAGGAAGTTGGACGTCTGAAACACTTTCCCACGTCCTCTTTTGGTTCTACATGGTTTTCGAGGCTCGGATTAGCTCTGCTAGATTTGACGTTTACTCAGATCCCTTGGGGAAATGAAATGTGTGCATGCCCAATTTCCTCTCCGTGTCTGATCTGGAGAGGGAGAGGGGGGGAAAGGACAGCGAGTCCAGAATCAAAGAGTGAAAGTCATTCCGCATGCAGCAATCTGAATGAAAAGAGCAATATCTCCAAGAATATGCATCAATTTCCAAAACTGCCTGGTTAAATTTAAAGAAAGGTGTGTGTGTGTTCCCCAACTTAACATGTATTTCCACAAGAGGGATGTAGAATCATAGAATCATAGAATCATAGAGTTGGAAGAGACCACAAGAGCCATCGAGTCCAACCCCCTGCCAAGCAGGAAACACCATCAGAGCACTCCTGACATATGGTTGTCAAGCCTCTGCTTAAAGACCTCCAAAGAAGGAGACTCCACCACACTCCTTGGCAGCAAATTCCACTGTCGAACAGCTCTTACTGTCAGGAAGTTCTTCCTAATGTTTAGGTGGAATCTTCTTTCTTGTAGTTTGGATCCATTGCTCCGTGTCCACTTCTCTGGAGCAGCAGAAAACAACCTTTCTCCCTCCTCTATGTGACATCCTTTTATATATTTGAACATGGCTATCATATCACCCCTTAACCTCCTCTTCTCCAGGCTAAACATGCCCAGCTCCCTTAGCCGTTCCTCATAAGGCATCGTTTCCAGGCCTTTGACCATTTTGGTTGCCCTCCTCTGGACACGTTCCAGTTTGTCAGTGTCCTTCTTGAACTGTGGTGCCCAGAACTGGACACAGTACTCCAGGTGAGGTCTGACCAGAGCAGAATGTGTTGTGTAGTTTCCTGACGTTGGGTTTGTGCTTTGGTATGGCTGCACAGCAGACAGAAATGCTTCCGATGCCCCTTTCTCCATGCCAGGAAGAGCTGCAGCTGCTGGATTTCTGCCAAGAAAAATAGTATCTAAGGGGAAAGACAGGCATGGAGTGGTAGAGTGATAAGTGCTGTACCAATAAGATCCAGGAAGCCATGAGATATGTATGTCCCCCATCAGTGCCTTGACTTTATTTGATGGTAGTCCAGTGGTACCTTGGTTCTCAAACGCCTTGGTACTCAAACAACTTGGAACCCAAACACTGTAAACCCGGAAGTAAGTGTTCCGGTCTGTGAACTCTTTTCGGAAGCTGAATGTGCTCTGTTTTGAATGTTACGCTTCTGTTTTGAGTGTCACACTTCCATTCTGAGTGTTACGCTGGGGACTGTCTGTTTTTGCTATTTATTTTGCGTTTGTGTTTTTGCGGCTCTTTTTTGTTTGTTTTTGTGACTGTATGGAACCCAGTTCAGCTACTGGTTGGTTGGTTGGTTGGTTGGTTGGTTGATTGATTGTGTGACTGCAGTACATTGTTTATTGTTTTCATTTTATGGATCAATGGTCTCGTTAGATAGTGAAATTAATGTTAAATGGCTCTTTTAGGGGTTGTTTTTAAAAGTCTGGAACGTATTAATCCATTTTGCATTACTTTCTATGGGAAAGCGTGCCTTGGTTCTGGAACGCTTTGGTTTTGGAACGGACTTCCGGAACGGATTAAGTTTGAGAACCGAGGTACCACTGTAATAGTATTTAAGACTAGCCTTTCCAAGTACTCAAGGAGTCCCACCAAACAATTTGAGGTGGGGGGGGGGACAATATTACAAGAAAAACCAACAATTTCATTTACAAATAAGTATAAATGACAGCGAGACTTCCATATGGGCACATACACTTCCTTCTCCTTTAAGATCATCAAATAGATCCCAGATTACTAGATGGAACTGGCCATTTCTGGCTGTAGAAGAGAGAGTCCACACAATTTGCCTAATGGTAGGGTTGCCCTTTATTGCTCAGTAATCTCCCAGACCTACAATGTCCATTGCTTTGTACCTTCGGGAGGGGTAAGCAAAACGAGTTGAGATAAGTGAAAATTAATGGAACCCAGAGAAAGAGTCTTTAAAGCATATTCTGGTACTGACTCACTGCACTCAGAAGAGCATGTCCTGAGGTCACCGTTTCCACCCACAATCCCTCTTGTGATGTAAGACCTTTGGTAGTTAATGCATAGCTAGGTTACTGAATTGTTGCTGATGTCAGTATTTTGTATTGCTGCTGCTATCTAGCATTTTATGCAGACCAAACCTACGTATCTGTGTATACGCAGATGTGAGCTGCACTATGTTCTATACTGGGCTGCTTTCTACTGAGTAAAAGAGCCTAAGATTTTAGCCTTGGGCTGCAACCCAGCTTCCTGGGTAAGCCCTGCTGAATTGGCAGGACTTATTTCTGAGTAAAAATGTGTAGAATTGTGTTCTTGACACATTTACAGTGTTATAGGGTGGTGTTCCTATTTTAAAAATACACACTTTTTAAACACACTCTCTGTGTGTGTGTGTGTGTGTGTGTGTGTGTGTGTTTATTTTTGTAGTGTAACTTGCTTAGAACACAAGAAGGCAGGATGCGAAGAAAAGGAGCCAGAAATAAAAACTGTCAGCAGCGCAACGAGACAATTTCAGCACCCAAACGCCTGTAAAAGCACATCATTATTTTTATTGCTATTTATTACTTGTATTCTACTTTTCTCGTCCAGAACACCCAAAGGGCCTTGCAAAAGGATTTAAAAATGGACAGTAAAAATGCACAATTTTTGATTGAGCTACAGCAATTTGGAGAAGGCTGTAGCTTTTTGGCAGACTGGGTTCAAAAGCTCCCATGTCCAATCCCTGGCTTATCCAGGGAGGGTTGCAACTTGTAGCGTTCTGCATATTGTTGGACTCCAACTCCCACAATCCCCAGCC